TGATAGTCAGGGATAACTGAACGTAATGGTAATAAGAGTTCGCGATAGATTGTGATGAGATGCAACTATATAATGAGATTGTTGATTAAGCAAATTTTGTATAGTAATTACGACTTGCGAGTACCTAAGGTTGTGGTTTCCTAATATTTGGTGAGTAACGTGGTTGTATGGAAAGTTTTAAGAGATAGTGGGACACCACTCGAATATAATTTAAAAGAGCTAGGGTCATGATGAAGAAAGATAGTGGGATGCAGTACAACCTTTAGAGAGAGGCGAGAGGATGAATATTTTATTTGATTGCAAAGGATAAAGATTTATCTTTAGAGGAGTAGATATTGGGTTTAGAGACGTGTGATTTCTTTTGTTTTGTTGTGGCTATGGTAATAGTGTCACAAGCATGTCGGATTAGTTAAAAACTATTGAAAATGACTTGAGAAAGGAGTGTGCGGACATTAGCTTAAGTGTGATGACAAGTGTTTGGTTTTGTTTTGGGTCTAGTAATGAGTACGATTGGATTGTTAGCGAAAGATATTGTAAGATCGATGGAGATGCGATCGATGATAAGCGAAAATCCATGATTTCATAAAAATCTTCAAGGTACAAGCTAATGTTGATAGAGAAAGGGGTTGTGTTATATGGTGGAAATTACAATTCAGATTTTTCATTGTGAGTCTACATTCGTGGTGATGTATTTTGTCAAGGTATGAATTGGCAAGTTGATGAATGATCAATTGTATCCGGTATTGAACATTTGAAAGGACTTACACATGGGTTGAGTTGTAAAGTTGATTATTGTTGATTGTTAAAGTACCTAAGAAAGATTTTCATTTAAAAAGTGTTGGTTTAAAGTAAGGTGAATGGCCGGAGTGGTTACGATGGTTGTTAGTATTAAGAGTGTTGGCTTCAGTTGAAGGATGTGAAGAGTATGTTGAGTCAAGTGAATGTAAATGGTTGGTATCGACTCTTTAAAGGAAAACCTTTCGTGTTATTCAATAAATTCTTATATGACCATCTAATTCGTTTTGTACATGGTTGTGAGTGTGATGAACTAGCTATGGTCATGCGTGTTTTTCATGTTGTGGGTGAATCTCTAGTGGTGGATCAGGTTTACCAATCCTGCGACGCTCTCTTGGTTGAGTGGGAAGATTGAGAAGATTTGGTTATTTCGAATGACATAATTGGTGTTGTCTTGGAACAGTTAAAGTATTTTAGTGGTTCTACATGTACCACCTTGCTTATGAGAATTTATAGAAGAGCTACCATGCGTATTTATGGTTGTCCGACAATCTAATATTTCATCTTGTCGTCGAGGTCATGTTTGGATTATGTGTGGTTGAGTGTGGGGATCATTGAATCTAAATCTACTGTTCTTAAGAGGTAATCTATAATTACTAAATCTAACTTTTCGATAGTGTTGTTGGAAGGGTGGTATGCTTGGACATATCCCTCGATGAGTATATGATTTCTAAATATCAAAATTGTTATAACTTAAGCACATGGAAATTTATGTTGTGGGATGGAGATGTTGTTAAGAACTATGATTGGTTGGGTATTATGAATGTATGTTGGTTTGTTCAGGTTCACTTCTAATTGTAGCGAGTATTGATTTAGAATTTTATCATGGTTATGTGAGAAAGGATTCGCCCTGATGTTTGTGTCAATATCCTTGATAACATGTGGCAGAGGTGTGTACGATCAACTGTGGTGGTTGTTGGGAATCGTTTTGTTGTTAGTTAAGTTTACATACAACAATATTTATCACTCGAGTGTTGAGATGACTTCATTGAGGCATTGTAAGGGAGGAGGTGTAGGTACTCAATTGGTTGGTTTGAGGTTGGAGATGTGAAATCCTTATGGGGTAATGAGATTCAGTAAGAAGGGCATGTGATACAAGTATCCCCAGTAATTCAACGATTCAGTTACTACTCTACCCTTACCAGTGTGGGGATCATTGAATCTAAATCTACTGTTCTTAAGAGGTAATCTATAATTACTAAATCTAACTTTTCGATAGTGTTGTTGGAAGGGTGTGATGGGTAAATTGGTATCTATTGTAACGACATGATTTTCATCGTTATGAAAAAGCCAATGGAGAAAGAATTGGGGTCAGAAAACTTTTTCGTAGTAACTTGGAATTTCCTAGCCTAGTCCAGATTTGGACGAAATCGGAGTCTTTAAGGTGTAGGGAAATCTGGTAAGAATCGGGTGAATCATTTATGATTTTGATTACATGAGTAGTTAGATAACTCGTTAAGAAATCAGTACGACTTTACAGAATTGAATTCGGGAGAGTAGAACTCCCGGAATCGATCTTAGCGTAAAGGGTATTTACTGAGCGTCGTGGGTTAGAAGTGTGTTGTGAAATGGGAATTTTGGAGTTCTTGAAATAGCTCTATGTTTCGTTTTGGCCGCTTTAACGGGAATGTTTGCCACTCTGGCATCACCGTTGTGGCGGGGTAGTAGCCGCTGTGGCGGGGTGATGGCCTCTATGGCGGGCTCGACGCGAATTAAAGTCGTTAATAAACCCCTAAACGACCTCATTATACACTTTTCGACTTTTAGAGCTAAGGAATGACCCCAGGCGATTTCTACTCATTTTTCACCATCCTTGAGGCTAAAGGTAAGCTTTTCACTCCCCGAATCCATTTTTCGATCCGTAGAACATAATAGAATGGGTGAATATTGACGGGGGAGGGTATTGTTAAAGATTATATGGTGGAAACAACCCTAAATTGGATAATTGGGATCATGGGTTTGATCTAGGGTTTATAGAATTGTTAGTAATTCGGGTAATTAGTGATTGTTATTGATTACCGTATTATATTGATTGTTTGTAGACCAAGAACAAGCGAAACGAATCCGGAAAGGAAGGATCAAGTTTCTTAGGGTTTCAAGCTTGTTTCGAGGTAGGTGATGGTTGTGATTCTATAATTGTGTGATGTATGTTTGTTCTTGCTTCATTATGATACATGTATGTATGCGAATGTTGCATTATTGATCACACTTGTCGTAAATGAGGATAATTGAATAATTGTATGCCATGAATCACCTCCTGTTGTATGATTGTGAGAATATACATGGTGATTGTGATTGTGATTGTGATTGTGATTTGTTGAATGGGCGGGTGTCGCGATCCGACACACTAACTTGGATCGGATTGCCACGTTCCGACATAAATATGGGATCGGCTGCCACGTTCCGGCATAACTAACTTGGATCGGATTGCCACATTTCGACATAAATATGGGATCGAATTGTCATGTTCCTTCATGCTAACTGTTTGAGTTTGTATTCCATACGAGGGCTATTGAATTGGGTTCCGTAAGAGGACCTATTGAATTGTGTTGTGTATCTACTTGTGATGAGTTCGTTCATATCTAATGATGATTGATATTGGAAGACGGTATGTTGCTCTAAAATTGATATAACTGGGATATGTGAGAATCGTGAAGTTGTTCATTGTTCGTATATGTTGATGATATTGTATATGTTTGATATGTGCATGTGATTATATTGTTGTATTGACTAATTTATGTTACACTTAGTGGGATAGCCACGTGATCCTACCAGTACACAGTGTATTGTGTATTGATACTGCACTTGCTCTTCTTGTTGAGTACAGGGCATCTTCAGGTGGCTATTGATAGACCTCAGCTAGGTGACTATGAGCGTGACCGGATTCAAGGGTGAGCCAGTTCTTTCAGGCTGCCATGGATCTTCCTTGTTTAAGTCCACTCTTTTCGAACTCAGACTTTTGTTTAAGGTGTTGTTTAGTTTCGGGGTGGTACCCCTTGTTCTTAGACTTGTTGTTAGTATAGTTTTGGTACATTGACTTTAAGGTTCTAGGTTAAATCTTCCGCATTTGTTAGTTATTGTTGAACTTTTGTTAGAGTTTATGGAAACTCTATTTTCTTTCCTTAGTATTTGACTTATATGCCTTGGTTCTTAGATTGATTGCTTGGTTTGGGTTGTAGTACTGGTTCTCCCACCGGATGGTTAGTGTGGGTGTCAATCACGACGGTCTAGATCGTGACATCTACAAACTTCAATACTATCTAAGCAAAAATAAAATCATAAAATATATTATTAAAAAATTGAGGTCTGATATTTACGGTGGCTTAAAATAATGGCTTTATTAGCTTTGCCACTTCTTAAAGAGATCGTAATAATGCAAGTTATCCACTCCTACACCAAATCCAAATGGAATTTTTTTTTAAAAAAATTACACAAATTTCATAGTCCTAAGAGCTAATTACATCATGTTCCTGCTCATTTTCAAATTACAAACATCCCTTAAAATTTTAAGAATTTCGGATACATAACTTAACATCCCGATACTTTGCGTTCTGATACATTACCTTTGTTGATAGAAGATACACTTGTTCCAATACGTTGCTCAACATCTCGAGACATCGCGTCTTAATACATTACCTTAGTTGATACAAGACACACCTATCCTGATATATTGCTCAACATCTCGATACATCGCATCCCGATACATTACCTATGTTGATACAAGACACATCACACACCTATCTCGATACATCGCGTGTCAATACATCATGTCCCGATACATCGCGCAAGAGTGATGTATCCGAATATAGGAGAGAAAGTGAGGAAAATAAGAATTTTTTGTAATTTTTTCAAATGGTAAGGATTTTTTTAAAATATGGTAAAATAAATTGAGAATTAAGTAAATTTTCCAAAAAAAATTGCGCCACCCTTGTTTTACTGTTATTAATATAAATTATGTTAGTTTTTCTTTATGAATATTTGTAGTTAGTATTTTAAGTTTCTACAAATATGTAATTCTTTCTTTTAAAAAAAAATTAATTAGTTTGGAATTCAAAAATAAAAAGAAAATCGGGTAATTTTTTGTAGGAAGAAGAAGAAACTCCCTCATCTCTTCCATTCTTGAAAAAAAAAATTTTTAGACACTTTCAATTTTATTGGAGCTTGAAACAACATGGTAGATATTTTCATGGATTAACAATTTGCCAAACGTTGAAAGTGTGTATATAGCTCAGGCTAATTTGTTAGCCGAATATATAATTTATATTTATTACAAGCTGAAATTACTAGGGATGTCAATGGTTCGATTCGATTGATTTTTTAAAAAACATTGTGACACACCCATACATGAAAGTATGCAGAACTTATTGGAGAATGACAAAAGGGCTAATCTAGATCTGTCCTAGGATAACATCTCCGCCAGAAACCTTGAAGTCAGAAGGTGCTTCTTCAACATTCAGAACCTTAACATTTCCATCAACTACATACGCCGACCACCTATGCAACAACGATGATAAATAATGGATTAGTATAAGATAGACAGGTTGTTTCCGATATAGCCTGAGCTCAAAAGGCCAAGTCATTTGGAAAAGGATTGCAAGAAAGTTCGTCAAAACTAGTTAAACTTCTGCACCTTTCACTGGGATTATCAATTTTGGAATTGGCAATTGTTGGATGTAGAATCTTTAGTTATTGCAGGACGAAGTAATAAATGACATAAAACATGAACTCTGATCCCTTACCTATGAGATCGAAGTCCAAGCAAAGCTGCCGAGAGATCAATTGTTAAGTCCAAGCTCTTGTGGAAGCTTCCATCAAAATCACCATAAAACTCAATCTGCATCGTAAAATAGAGACTCATCCTCGTTATTAGAGAAAGTATAAAGAACAACTATCACAAAACAGCTGATACAATGATTTTTTCTGACATCTATAGTGCTATCAAACTTGCCCTAAGAAACAATTCAATAAATGTATTAGTGTGGCATTAGAGATGTAAAGGTCATAAAACAAGGTGAGATGAACATAGCCAAATGACTAAATAACAGGATCATGAGAATCTTAATCATAGATCTCTCTCTTGGTTATCTGTCATTCATACCCCAGTTTATTAGTTTCAACTATCCTACCTAAGTGTACCAGCGTTAGCGATAAAGCACATAACAATCTACATCAGGCTGTGTTTTTTATGCTTCATACAGTTTATGAATTATGTCATCCTCGATATGCTACAAAATAAATTCCAGTTAGGGATCAACGTCAGCCCACCTACATAGATTTCCAGCTCCATGGACGAAAGTTGAGTTTCAACAGAAATATATTAGAATATGGTCAGAGACAAACTGAGTTTAAGTTGGAATGTATTAGCATATGGTCAGAATCATTATCTTTGAGCATGTAGAAGAAATTTCTTAGAATTTCATTCATTTAGCTGCGGCTGCTGTGCTCATATCAATCAGATACCTTCTTTTTAAAAGAAAAATTCAACTGTCATCCAACATAAATGTTGCTTGAAAAGTAAGATCTGCTCGACATCCCTCCTTTGACCCCCTTCCTACAATCCCAAACCATCCCCTCAATAACTAAGAAATCCCCAAGGACTGGTTGGCACATAGTTTGAAAGTCAAATAGTCAATGAACAATTTTTTTTTTAGAAGGTAAGTTCGAAAGTCATGAATATTGAGACTGCTCTGTACCCCTCTATAGTTAAAAAGCACCAAGCTTTTAATCTACATCAAGATTCGAACTCATGATATGAGCTTTTAATCTACACACCACTCTCTGCGCTCTAACACTAAACAAAAGCCCTTGGGGCACTAAAAGAAACGTTTTGCCATTCCAAGTCTTGCCAAAAAAGCTAGATTAATCTTTTTCATCAAATAGATTCGGCTCCCTACACAATATACATGATCAAGAAGGTTGATTCACCAGAATATGTTTACTTCTGCTGAGAACTGAGAAAAAGTAAGTACTTCAAGTCTTCCAAGGATGGTAGAAAGTTCAAATTAGTAATTAGTGAAGGTCACACTTGCTTAAAGAAATACACAGGATGACGAGGCAGGGAAGAATGACTTACAGCATCTTTTGCTTGTAGTTTTTCTGCCCAACCATTCATAGTGTATGGATCATTCACAGCAACACAGATGACAGAGTCGATTCCTTTGGCCTTGAACTTATCAATGTTATTCTTGTAGCTAGGTACATGTTGCATTGAACAAACTCCAGTGTACGCACCCTGGAAATTGTACAAGTAACATCTTTAGGAAGATATAAAACTAAAAAAACAAAGAGAACCAGATATTAAACAAATGGCTATGCAATAAGGCCTCTAATGGGGCAAATTTCCTACCACAACCATCAAAGAAAATATGAAGCCTTTCTTTCTTTCATCATTTCTTAGCGTCATTTTATTCAATCTTCTTTCATTTCATAGTGTCAGTTTATTCAACCTTCTATTACAAACTAGGGAAAGCCCTTTTCTATTATAATTCAATTGAGGAATCACGGTAGTCCAGTTGGTTGGCTACAGCTACCTGAACTTTCACAATGCCACTGAAGGTTCAATTCCCCATTTCATAATCTAGTTCCCCATTTCCCCTTCTGCTTCCCCTCCTTCTATGTATAAAATAAAATAAGAAGAATGGAAAGAATGGTATTAAGTATTTAAATGTGTCCCGTTGTATCTTTCCTCCAGAAGCAAATATGTGCAACCAACCAAGTGGCAATGTTAATCCAGTAGTATGTAACAATTGGGATTACAACAAGATTAAACTATTCTGAAAATTTGGATAAGTAGTAGCAGCATTCATTTGTAGTCCCAGGAAGATAAAACTTTAGACAAATAAAGCTGCTCACTGCACTTAAGTCATCAGATACCACCTTGATTTAGTATTTTGTTTAGAAAGTTCAAAAGACCAATTTATTATTTGTACTAAAAGTAACAAGAAAAAGAGATTTTTTTTACCATTTTGATTTCTTATTAGGCTTAAATGGAGCTACATGGTCCGTGAGGATTCGTATATATAGTGTACACCTCATCTTGGTTGGGATTGACGCATAGTAGTTATTGTTGTTGTTGATGTCTTATTAAGATTTTTTACCTTTTAAATATCAATGAAAAGAAAGAACTTTTTCCCCTCTAACAAACACAAAACATCATAAACAAAAAATAAAAGATAAAATGACCATGAATGAAGCACAAGTTGACAATTTGGAGGACCTCAACAAAATATGCAGTAGTCAAACAACAAGAAGATAAAAAAATCCAAGACTAAAATGGCAGAACCGCTTCATTCTAAGACACCACAACGTAACACTTGTGATTTATCTTGCTATTTTATTGTCGTTATTTTCCTTTACATCCTACTTTTGATTGCACTTTTTGAGTTGAGGGTGTACCGGGAACAACCAATCTGTCCCACACCACAAAGGCTAAGTAAGGTAAGGTCTGCGTACATCCTATCCTCCATAGACCCCCAATTGTGCGATTACACTAAGTATGTTATTGTTGACAAAACAAATTCTCATAATTTGACAACCCCACTCTCTTTATTCCAATTAAAAGAGAACCAAACAAAAATATTCATCTAAAACCTACTCCTAACCACAGAAATGAAAACTAACACACAATACAACTAACTTAATAATCAGTGGCAATATATATAAATGAAAGTCAACTTACAGGAAGGCCAAAGATTACAACATTTTTACCCTGAACACCAAACAAAATACAACAAACAGTCAGAAATAAAGAAAAGGTTGATATTAGGTATAAAGATTACATTTTTAAAATTGGGGTTTTGATTATATTTATGATTACCTTGAAGATATCTTTAACAGGGGTAGTAGAGAATTTTGAGGAGACACCTTCATCCCAAGATCGAGCCTTTTGTAGAGAAACATTTGGTGCAGCAACAGTAACATCACTTCCTACTGAAATTGAAGCATAGGATCTCAGGCTTTGAGCCATCATTCTTGTTCTCTTTAACATTGCTGAGGCCATTGCTGATTCTCCTAAACTTTTGGTGGTTAATAGTGATTTTTGCTACTTTCATTGTTAGTGTTTGCTGGTGAATATATGGACAGGGAAAGGATGGGCCTTATTTAAACTTGGGCCTAAATTTGGTGTCCAAACTCTATAATATATAGATAGACTTTGGATTTTGGAAGTTCTGAGGACCAATTTTTCGTTAGTCGAGTTTGCGTACAATAATAGTTATCAATTCGGATGGTGCAATATGAGGCTTTCTAACTCCTACTCCCGTACTAGATTAATCAAGCTCTAGAATGGGGAGATATGCCGTACCCCTTCTCTTGTGTAAATTTTTTAAGGCTAATTTATAGGGTAAAATCAAGTGTCAAATGTCTCGTAAACATGGACAAGTATAGGCTATAGCTTATGAAATTAAGCTTTAACTAAATAAATGTGTATAAGAAGTGTTTATACACTATGCATATATTATTATACAATGTTGATAATATTGTTAACTATTTCTGTACGTTTAGCTATAAATAAATAAAAATAACCCAACTTGCTCAATCTTCACCAAATAACTTCAAATTTTAACCACAATTTCAAAATGACATTCTCAACCAACATTAGTCATCCCAAATTTGATATTCAAATCAAGACATACATGATACATTGCAATAACTAGTGTGGATGCAATAGTCAAGCTCCAGGTTCAAATGAACCCAACACTTTCGATGTGTAACTTAAATTATATTCAAACTTCACATAAATTGCAATAAATAGTAGGTCTAAACTTATGATTTGAAAAATACAATAGATTCAATACTAAAAACCCATAAAAACTAAAATCATAGAGTTAAATTAGAAATTTGCCACTAACAATAACACCCACTTAAACAAATCTCAATTTTAAAAATCTGATTTCTTTGAACCCAAGCTTTGAAGCTTCTTTAATAACTTCCAATGTAACTTTTCAATTGTTCTTCGATATATCAGTCACCATTAAATATTTTCAAAGAATTCAACCAAGAAAAGCAATTAAAACATCGTTTTCAAAATATGAACAATAAGGATGGAAAATATGGGCTCATTTATAATGTTGGGCCGATTGACATGTCCATGTAAACCTTAGGTGCTAATTTCAACACATCAATAATTTCAATACTTATATATTTGGTCTGAGTTGCCTTTAGATAGACTATACTAGTGAATGTATATCGCCTCTTTCCTCTCTTGTCCCTCTACTTCTTTATATATGTGTTCCGCAATTTCATGTATTTATGTATCCAATATGTACCGATATATTCAGTGTATTTGTGTGTATCAATTTCATCTAGTGTGTTCAATACTAAATATCTAGTGTATCCAGTATCATTTTCATGTATCCAATATAATAAAAATGCATTATGTATATGTGCATAATAACAAATTGGTTATGAGAGGATACTGATGTATTCAGTACATTTGTGATGTGTCTATTGTATTTGTGCACAAGTGCATCTATTTGGTATCAAACTTGTGCTGTATGCGGTGTTTATGTGTATAGATACATACTTACAAAAAAATGATGAAGACGAAGATATAGCTATCTAGAAACATATATTACTGCATAGATACATGCATATTATCTTGTGTAATTATGTCTTAACCAGTCACTCTTTAATAACTATCTGGTATCAATTACGTAGTCGTTATTACTGACAAGAAAAATCAATCAATAAGCACACCGCCCGTTAAATCTTGGTCAAAGTTCAAGATTCTAGCAACATTTATTTTGTGATAGGTAAGTCTTAAATTAGAAACTCAACTGTGACTAAAAAAAACTTTGATTTCAAATTTTCAATCACCATTTAAGGACTCAACTTCAAATTTTCTCAATAGAACACAAGCTTCAATAGATAATCTTATTATACTATACATACAGAGTTATTAAAGGGGAACAAAAAATACAACAAAATCAATTACATCTAATTAAACATGAGATGATTACACAATATTATCAAGCTTAAAAAAACAATCACAAAATTAAATCCCACTATAATTAAATAGAGGCACTTATATACCTTAGGCTGTACCTCTCCAAAAATATACTGCAAAGTGCAAAAAGAAGGACTCTCTTTGTACAACACAATACACCCAAAAATAAATAAATTATAGTAGCTAGTTAATTAACTTAATTATTTATTAAGTTATAATAAAATCTTGATCAATCTTGACCATATGATTTAAGAAGAAAATCTAGTAGGATTTAGTGAATTATAATGAGGTGGGACTTGATTAATTAGTTGTCTTTGTGTTTGTCCTTGGAACTTGGTGTTTGATGAGAAATTATTATGTCTTGGTTGCCTGTTTTTTCTTCTTGGATGTGAAGAAAGTGGGATAAAAACTCCAGTTCCTTTGCTAATTTCTCTTCTATTATTATTCTGCTCATATACATATCCTGCTCTTGTAGCTGGATGAATTACTTGTGAAAAGGCCTGTATTTTTTAAAAGAAAATTGGTAAGCACATGTCATTATAACAAAAACAGCTTTTAGCAGCAATAAATATATATATATATTAATAAAAAGTGTTAAAAAATTTATCTTCATTAGTTAATTGTCAGTAAATCTAGTGTTGTTATAGGCTTTAGAGACATTTACAAAGAGTGTTAATTGTCTCTAAAAAATATATTTAGCGGCAATTAAGCTGTTAATTATTGCTAAAGATCATTTTTGATCTAGTGAGTTATTAATTTTCGTCTTCTCGTGGATTCATGATTTGAACTCTATATGTTTAATATTTAAGATTCTTAACATTGAACCTAATGTATAATGTTATGGGTTCTACTATTATATACTATTTGCTCAATTTTAGTCGTTTCATGGGCGGGGAGCTAAGCGCAATTCTTTGAATCAAAGGTTGAATGAAATCAATTCTTTTTTAGATAACAAAATCGAAATTGGATAGGATAGATGGATGGATCTATCTTTCTATTCATATTTATTACTAATCAAAATGTATTTCTATAGTGTTGTAGCGTAGTAAGAAGCCAGGAAAGACTGCACTATTTTGGACCCACGAAGCGAAGAGAATGAGCTCAGCTGCCTCTCTGATTTTTTATACTTAAATTTGTGTTTCACTTCAAAGTTACGAAATTCAAATGAATTTTATGTTGTAACACTACACCCGTCCCTATCCTATACGTTAACAAACAACTATCGGTAGAAACACTTAAATTTCAATATTCTATAGACTAATAGTCAATAAAGTGAGTGCAAATGTGAAAGAAATTTCAATAAAGACTTTTGAGAACTAAGTGATTCTTTAGTTAAATCATTTAGTATAATAAATAAATTCTCTTTCAATGTTAATACACTCAAACATTATATGATATGAAATTAATGAATTAGACAAAGATAACTAGTGTATTTTAGGGAGAAAAAACAACGACTTGAACATATATATTGAAAGAGAGGGAAAAATATATTGAACCTGAATAGAGCCATGAGAATGACGATAAACTGAAGAGTTTTGATGTTCATGTTCGTCATCGTCCATTATTAAAAGAGAGATTTGTTTGCTCAAATCTGCAAAAAATAAATCATCTTCTACTTCCATTGCCACTTCCATTTTTTGAAGAAGAGAACTCAAAAATGTTTAGTTCACTCTGTTTTTCTTCTTTTCTTTTGAGTAGTTAAGAAGGGATATTATTATTGTGTATTGTGTAGTACAAATAATAAATAGGAAAAAAAAACAGCAAATAATGGGTTCAAGCAAAAAAAGGTATACATGTGGGATAGTGGGGTCAAGAATGACAGCCAACCCAAATCTGTGCAAGACCCACAAAAGGATATCAACTAAGTGAAAACTTATCGATACGTGTGTTTTGGTGGTGTGGTAAGTACTATACATTCTTAATTAAAAGGTTTTAAATTTGAGTACAAGTTTAGATTTAATCGAGCTTCAATATGAGTATTGAACACTAGATGGAAAATAATTTTAAAGAAAATTAAGTACAGACTTTAAAATAATAATATATTTAATGTAATGCTATAAACATAATTTAAAAAGAATAAGATATAAGTGAATTTCACCTCTATTTTTTTGAAGTAAAAACGTTATTTCTAATAGACAATCGATTCTCACTTCAAAAGAAAGTGCAGTATTTAGTAATAACAACGTATATGATATAATTTTAAAAATGAGATCTGAAAAGAATAGAATATATACAGATTTTATTTTTATCTTTGTGAAATAAAAATATTGTTTTCAATATATCCTCAATTCATTTTCGTTTTTTTTTTTGCAATCTTTAGTATGAATTTAAATTCTATATACTCGTTGTATTTTTTTTAATTTTTTTTTATTATAGATAACTATTCCTAATAAATAAATTTAATAATTTATAAAAAAATACATCTCAAGTGTCAATTACATAAGTAAATTAATAGCATTAAAAAAAGAATTAGATGATTAATGTATATATAATAATACATTAAATTGTTATGGTAAGTATATTATCTAGATGAGAATTGAGAAACAGAGAGGGACAAAAATAAAAAAAAATAAAAAAAAAGAGATGAGGATTGAAGAATCTACATTATAGCGACAGCCCACACTTTAGTAGATCAGATTTCTCATCCAAATATGAACTACATCAATCCATTACACTTACAACGACGCCTTGTTAGAGCCACATGCATGTTCATCGGGTTAGTCTGAACTTAATATTTTTATAATTTGTGTAAGAATTTATTAGAAGTATAATAAATAGTATATCAAAATTCATAATTTTAAAACTTAATAAATTTATATTAAAATCTTAAATATTGAACTCATAAAGTTTGAATCCTAAATTTATCTTCGGTGAAACCCAACCCTAGAAGCACATATGAAGTGTATAACTAATATTACAAGAGGAGGTTGCTCGAATGGTAACCACCCTTCGCTTCCAATCTTAAGATTGTGTGTCCGAGTCACCAAAGAGAGCAAAAAGATAGAAACTCCTTCGAGGGATTAAAAAAGGAGTATGTAACTAATATTTTGAACATGAAGTATATTTATAAAAAAAAGTTATTAAAATTTTGATAAATATTAAACTTCGAATTCATAATTTTAGAAAAAAACATTATTAATTAATTCAATAGTTAAAATTTAAAATTAGTACTAATTTGAATATTGAATCTGCTTTGATGAATGATCTCTTTAATATGATTTTGAATTTAAGAAACGGTTAGACCCAACATTCCTTTCTTAATGATAGTGCCTCTTAAAATTTAAATATGTATTTAGATTTGAACATCTTAATTTTAATAAATACAAATAAGGCGTTACTCACACTCTCTCCTCTCTTGTCATCCACTAGTTATGGCTGACCCTTGACATTAGTTGTATCAAATTCTTTATTATTGCAATTTGCAAAGTGTATGTCAGTAGCTATAACATCAGAATATATAGCTGCAGCCATCTTGTTTTGTCATAGGACTAGAAAATAGAAAAAGGTTACTCTTGTTTCAATTTTATGTAATTTACTTTTCTTTTTAGTTAATTTTTAAAAATGGCAGAATGGTCCGGGAGACCCTCGTACTTGTCTCATTTTGTCACCTGAGCCCTTATAATATAGACTTTGCCAACTAAACCCTCGAACCCACTGAAATCCAACATTTTAAACCCTTTTTTTGACCTGTCATCCCATGTGGCAAAAGTAGTTCAAGTGCGTGAATTACACCCACTTTAGGAGCGTGAGATGCTTTTAAAAAGCCAATAACGGTCATTTTTGGCCATCTTCCCCAAATTCCCCTAATTTCTTCTTCAAATATCCAAAATGTCTTCTCTTTCTCACTCGTTTATCTCTCTCCAAAATTCTTCACTCCAAATTTCTTCTTCTTCTCCATAATTGATCAGGCCTTTTTTGTCTATATTTTATTTTTCTCACCTTTTTCTTACTTGTTAATTTTTTTGTTCTTCACAATGACTGTTTGTTTTTGCTATTGTGGGCTTCATGCTGAACTTAAGATGTCAAGAACATCAACAAATCCAGGAAGAATGTTTTGGGGCTGTCAAAAATACACAAATGGTAATGGATGTGGATTTTTTCGATGGGCTGATATGGCTGATCCTACCTACCAAGAACAACACTACATGAAGAATCAATCAACAAATGTTGATCATGGAAGACATAGGCATGGAAGGGAGGGAAGGCATGGAAAGCATAGAAGGCATGGAAGACAGGGGAGATCGAGCATTAGTATTGATATCAGTGTTGTTGTGATTGTTGTCATTTGGTTTCTATCTTTTGTATTTAAGATGTATTGATGATTTGTTCATTTGAGTACTATGATAATGTATGAAAATATCCAGATTAAGACTTATAATTATCATAGCAAATTCATAAGCAAAAATAACTTGTTTGTCATAGCAAGCTAACACAACAGTTGAAAATTAAGTTAATAGTGAAAAGTATCATAGACAATGTCATTGAGAATTTAGCTAGGCAAAACATGAGTCTTTACTATGAAATTTATGTATCTTGAGTGCTTGGTGTGGACTGAGTGGCTCGCTTGTAACTTTGTTCTTGTAGCTGCCTTTGAGTAACTGCAGCTCCACCCTTCCACCTTAGTCCATTGGGTTTGTAACCAAGATCGATATTGGTAGGCACTGAACTCTTCAATGGTGCACAATGTAACACTTTATCAGTAGTTGCAGACTGTTAAAAGGCAATAATGATATTAGTTAGAGAGATTCTATAGAATCAAATTAAAGGTCCTTAAATGATAATACTTACCCTCTCAATCACACTACCATTTGCTCCAAATAGCACACCAAAACCAGCTGTTCTTGGCTTCTCTGTTCTTGGCCTCTTATATCCGGGATTTGCACCACCTCTTTTAACTTTGCTACTCTTATTTGAGCCACTAGCACTAGTAGTTGACTGTTGAGTACTAAATTGACTTGTTGGTTGAGCAACACTTGCAAAATTTAAAGAAATATTTGCAGCACGTCTACCAGTAGTTATTGCAGCAGTAGTTGCACCTCCAGAAGCTGCTGAAGTAGTGGCTGGTCTTTTAGTAGTTGCACCACCACTTCCACCAGTAGTTACACCTATAGAAGCTGATGAAATAGTTGCACCACCATTTCCACCAGTAGTTGCACCTCCAGAAGCTGCTGAAGTAGTGGCTGGTCTTTTAGTAGTTGCACCACCACTTCCACCAGTAGTTACACCTATAGAAGCTGATGAAATAGTTGCACCACCATTTCCACCAGTAGTTGCACCTCCAGAAGCTGCTGAAGTAGTGG